ATCTGAAACATTATAGGAACAATCTGATTGGCTACTAAGCCAGCCTACAGAATTACCAATAAGATAATGCCAAATGCCATAGTTACGGTTAATCCTTAATGATAGTAAACAGTGAAAAGTCTAGGGTTTGTATTCGGCAAGTCAGCTAATTCTTTATCGCGAAATGAAAGGAAAATCAATTTATCAATCTACAGGGGAGCAAATCTGTTATCAGCCAAGTCTCTGTTTCCTCTGATAAAAGAAAGTAATGAAAGTGGTAAAACAGGTTGTAAACGACGTCAAACCATTTTTGGAAGAGAAGGGCATCCAATTCAGTGATGCTCGCAGCAAGAAGGCAGAAAAACAAACAAACAATAAAATGTAAGTTGAGGCTTTAAAAGCTGACCTTTTCAGAGACGCACGGCACTTTTTTGCATACCTTAGACCACTGATTAAATGAACCTTGAAAACAGAGGTAGAGAAATATTTACATTACAAAAAAAAAGACCCAAAACACGCCTTCGACAACAAAAGAGAAATTGGTTCCTCTCAGACTGGAGAGTGTAACGACAAACAGTTCCGAAGAAAGAAAACCCCACAAAAATAACGAGCCAAATGAAACGCAGTGTAGAATGGGTATATGTCAGTTGTGAACGGCGTGGGTATGCCATCCGAAGAACTTTGTGTTATTGCTCCAAAAGGTATTTACATGAAGTCGAAGTTATATTAGGATTCAAAGAAATCTCAATAGCGTCCTCTAAGTGAAGCGTCCAAGTGATGGTATCACTGACAGACCACAGGGCTAAGAGTTAATTGCGAGGATCAAGGAATAGTTTCACTTTTGCTCTGTTTTTTGCTAAGGTAACAAAAACTGACTGCTATCAGGACGTTTGCATACTCTTTGCACATTTGCTCCATCAAGGCTGCTTGACGAATGAGGAAACACGCATATGATGTAGAACACCACAAAAATGTAATTATTAGCTGGCTGTACTTTAATGTGCTATCTTGGTTGGAGCCTTATTGTGTAACTGACGCAACAAAGTAAAAAAAGGCAATTGAAGACACATCCGGTACAGAAACAGAATCCTTTTTCTCCCGCAGGAGAGCTGAGAGACGAGATGAATTCGTATAGATGATTTTACACCGTCACGTAAACAAGTTCTAGCCTAATTGCTATTCCGACATTTCAGTGGTATCGTTCACCACTTAAAATAAAATTAATGATGCAGAAACAGAATTGAATCAAATAACTACACGTCTCGGTATAACCAAAAGAAATCAATTAAGTGTAAAAATAGAAACTTAATGGCCTTTTGCATTTTTCTTGTTTTTCCACCCACGTGGACTGTCACCGCATTTTAGTAGTCGTTTTTTTGATCAGCGAGGCTGCCATACATCTTCCTTGGTGGAACTCAAGCATACGAATTTAAGATGTAAAGCCGGCGGAATGAAAAACCAATCACTTGAACGCTACTGTAGCGTCTAAAGTATTTAAACAATGCTTGAAACTCTCATGACTTCTTGAAGCACACAGATCAACGAGCAGTTATCACCGCTTTATCTGGCAGTCATAACTCCTTCGTCTCCTCACAAGTTTGTTTAATCATGTATTAACCTAAGGCGGGCAGGTTTTTTTTGGATTGACGTGTTGATTTCAACGGGGTAATTAATCTCATGGCAGATTTGTACAGTCAGAAACAAAATCAGAGAAAAGTCCAATGTTAATTTGGAAGTCAGTTTAATAGTATAGAAATGTGAATACTGCGAGGCTCGATGCACTTTTAACCGAGTGATAACCAGTCTGTTCAATCGATGATAATATAGGCACCTTCCCAATAAACGTCTAGCTAATACTGATCATGAAATATTGGATAAGATAGAATTATCAGGACTGGAATGGCATAATTTCTGGAAAGCATCAAAACATCTAAGGACACTGTAATCATGCAGTGTGTCGTGGTTGATGGACGAGATAACTTTAAGAATTCAGTGAGCCCAACATTTGTTACCATTTAAGGACACTGCTGTATTACTGTATGATACATTATTTGGATTTGAACTTTCTACGGTACACAGAACAACCTCAAATCCTTTGATTTAGAGTTTATAATTTGTCACTCCCACTCCTTCCTAAAAATGCTTAGACTTGCCCAGATAAGCATATAGAAACCAAATTTCGTGGGAGACAGAAAAATGTCGGGAATTCATTCAAAAACATCAAGTTCGGTCCGCCTTATAAATAACTTCCATACACGATACACGCAAGTTGAAAATAACACAATCCGTCATAAGTAATTGGAGTAGTTTAACTTATAAATTAAAGGTCTTGGATGAGATGTTAAAGGTAAGAACGTTGTCCACCAATTTAGGGTTATTCGATGTCGTACATGTTATTAAATTCATTTTGGTTACATCAGAAAGTTATACTTCAAGTCCATGGCTTCCGCAAATGGATCCATCAACAGTTTTCTAAGCTGCTCTCCAAGAGGGGAGAATATAATGGTTCCCTGAGGTATGGGATCGTAACTCGCCGAGGCACAGTCATGAATTTTGTGCCAAGATGCGGACAAGATTAAACGTGCAATTTGTGAGAACAAACAGTGATGATTAATCGATTTGATACGAAGCTAAGAGAAATAAAGCTGCAAAAAAAAATTTGATGATTCTGAAATGCTAACTATGTTATCAGTCGAGTAGCAATACGATAAAGAAAACAGTTAGGCTTACCTGCACGACGTGAAGATTCGTCTTCTGTTTCGCTTGCTTGCTTCTGAATGGCCTGGAAAGAAAACATTCGGTGTTGAGCAGAGAATGTCGGTCACATCCACAAGCCGGCATCTCGTACGCATGAGTAGGTAAATGGAATTCTTGTCTACTTGAACTGGGTACGATTGTGATCAAAATTGGCGCCATATTTCTAATGCGTTCAAAGATCGGCACTCAAGGTTTGATTTAGTTTTTAGCGAACTGAAAGTACTCTACCATCCTAGAGGCTATCCCTTGGAATTTGAATTAATACCAGAAATTAATAACCCATATTTTCAGTAAGTATTTCCTTAAAAAGCTGCTTAACACGAGGAGTCATTCATATCGCGCTCAAGCTCTGCTTATCATCAGGCATTTGCTCTGCTTTCCTTTTGAGAAGAACCATGTCAGTGAGTTTCCACGCCAAATTTTTTATCAAAAATCTAGCTGAAGAGAAGGATCGAAAAAAAAACTCGTACAAAACCAAGAATCGTTTTTCTTTTATCAGATGGTGTCTTTCGAGTATTGCTTATTTCGTAGAGAAACAATTCAAAATTGTTTTGATAAGAAGAAATAAAGAGTTACTCGCTGAACTTATCAGTTTAAATTCTCCTTGTCTTTATCTGTCCAAACCTGTCGGAAATGGAACCTCTACCCGCCCGACTCTCGTTATCAGCCTTCTATCGATGTCAGACGGGTTGAAAACAAGCAAAAAATACTGTCTGTTTGCAATTTTTTTAAGCCACTTGAAGAAACGTCAGAAACATCACCCGCTGAAAGCGAGTTTGAGTAATGGTCGTGGGTCGTGGATGCCGGTGTGGGACAAGTCGTGTCGGTAATAGTTAACCCTGAATTAAAAGTTTATAGTTCATATCTAATAATAATGATAATATTAATGGTACTTCTACTAATAGTTATTGTTATTATTGTAGAGGGGAACGGTTTTTTTTGGTGAAACGTGATTTGGTTACATAGCCGTGAACGGTGAATCGCCTTTTTATGGAAATTGCGAGACGACTGGGTTTTTTTTTCGCGAAACGTGACTTGAACCGTTATTGTTTCTCTTCCTTTAAAAAAAACCCAGTACGCGTCTCAAAACAAGACTACGTGTAGAAATATGACTGTGATTAGCTAATTATCATTCCAACAGGTAATTGAACACCCTTTATCTTCGTTTCGTGAAATGGCTATTTTCGTAAAACGTGAATGGCCATTTTATTTTTCGTGAAAAGTGATCTAGGAGCCCCCTTTACCTCCCTCAATTATGGTGTAATTTGACATAATTGACATGAACAAACCTTTCTCCAACCCTTCTCCAACTGTCAGGAGCCAGTAATGGGCTCCTGTCAACTGTAAATATTATTGTTTATTCCAATGTCATCGCATCAGCTTGGTGAGACTACCATTTCATGGATTCACTTAGATATAAGTAATATGTAATTCATTCAGCTAATTTATACCAAAAAATCTGTACTTAACGATAATTGATTATTGGTAGTAGTACTATTAATATCATTATTATTTAAAATTAATTATTAACTATTACCAACACGACTTCTATTCACACCCACACCCACACCCACACCTACGACCCACGACCCACGACCCACGACCATTGGTCAAACTCGCTGAAAGCCACTAATAACATCTAATAAATGCCTAAACATGACTACTTATGGAACAGTTACCAATAATCAGCTGTAATGATAAAAGTTTTCAAAAGTTTTTTGCTACGGCCACGAGATATAGAAATTTGGATCCGAAAGGTGTAACATTTTCAGGTGAAATTTGTCCATAGATGAAGCATAATTCATAAATGAAGGAAATTGCCGCAATGTGATGATTGCTTTGCATTGTGACAACACTGTGAGACATGTGCAACTCATGTGGACATACCATAATCACTCTCGACGTTACAAGTTTACTTGATAGCCGCCAGGAAAATTTTGGAGCCCTGATATTCCTTACAAAGTTAAAGATACTTTTCCAATCTATTTGTTTACTTTTGCAGAAAACAAATTGATGAAATGTCCCATTTCTCTCTCTCTCTCGAATGATCTGTGTGTGTGTGTGTTTTTTTTCCTAGGCATATTTGAGAAATGGCGTAAAGTGTTTTTTTTCTCACTAAGGCTATCAGAGAAATGGTGTATATTGGATTATGTCTTGACAACGAACCACAAAGAAAATTCTCGGCAAAGATACGACAATGAATACACACCGCAAGGATGATTGAGTAAAATTTTCTTAAGTTGTGGGATTGATGCATATCTTTTCTACTGCACCTCATTGTCGTTTTCGTCCGCACTTCCCGGGAACGTGAAAGCGCCTTGTGACGAAGAACTAGTCCCCTCATTGTCATCCTCGGCAGGAGAGTTCGTCTCGGGGCTTGGGGTTGAAAGAATGTCCTCGAGAGATGAGGCCTCCATACGCTAAACAAGGAAAGTTCAAGATTTAGTTGAAAGCGATGGATAGGCTTGGCAGTAGCACGACAGCGCTGATTTCAGAGATACACACTATGATGTTGTCAATGCAGAGGTAGCACTACACATATTCAGACAAAGATCATTGAGAGTCAACAAAGGCAGAAAAAGCATTCGGCCATAGGTACTGTGATTTTGGCGTCAGTTATACTGCTATGCTACCAAAAGAACTTTCCATTTATTCGAAGGACTGCGTAAGTCCTTGATTTCCTCATGTAAAAATGCTGCACAGATGAAACTCTAAAATGATGCTGAAGTGCAATATGGAACTCATTTATAACCTCTTTTGAGCGTTCGCGGTAGTCCCTTAAGACTAAGACTTGAACCTTTTGAAATAAGCCCAAACCTTTTCAAACCCAGTTTAGTATGATTATGGTAGTATTTACCACTCGAAGAGTACTCAGTGAAATTTTAGGATAAGATATGTGTTACATCTCATGTTCTAAACAATAAACAGAGATACACGTGCGAGTCTGACTAATTTGTGTTGTAAGTCAGACAGATTAGTGTCTCTTTTTGCAAATTGCAGCCCTTATTGCTCTTCGCGACCAGAGCAAAAATCGTAGAAGTCTAAGGCCTGCAAACAGTCTGTAAGGCAGATTAAGCGTAATGCTATGAATCCAGGAAGTATCATTGCGTCTAAATTTACACTAAATTTGACAGAAAAATGAAGGCCTTTTTGTAACTGTTAGATTTTCAGTGTCACGTACTTTTGAATTCCTTAAGAACTATATAGTCAAACTTTTTGAAATTGAATAAGTAAAGGCGAAAGAGGAGGCGAATAAAAACGTTTATATTGTACTAGCATGCCAAATTGATAGCAGTATTGCATGTCAATGGTGTTTTCAAGTTTACACGAAAAGAAGCCTCAGGATGGAACACTTAGAAAATGTGGTCGGCGACAAAATAATGCCCGAGCAAATTTTGTTGTAAAACTATTCAGCCACAAACATTATCTGTCTCACTGCCTTAGGGAATACCGCCAAAGGTAATATAAACACCATAAAGTATATGGCTATTGTCGCTTTTGCCGACAGTTCCTTAGTCTGTAAACTTATCGAGGTTATGGATTGTTGAAAGTTCCCTTTCGCGATAAAATTACAACTATCTTCCTCTGTATTTCATTAGTAGAAGTATATATTTTTTTGCCATTGAATTAACCTAGTCTGTTTTTGAGTGAATATTAGTTTTTCCGCTTGATAGACCTAACCATGATCCGATACAATTGTACACGTCCGTTCAAAGTTCCAAAGCGTTCTGAACTTAACACATATGGTCACCTTTTCACGGGTAAATTGATGGGGATAGTGCGGTTTGTAGACAGCTTAACTTCCCTGATATTTATAGTACTCGGAATCTAAAATTTTGTTTTGTTTTGCAGAAGAGCGAACAATAAAAGAATCTCACAGCGTAAATGAACTTCGAAATTTCTTATTGGTAATAATTGACGTCAAATTTGGTCGATTTGCTTCTCAAATCCAGACGTTTCATCTGGATATTTTCAGTAGTTCAAATCTGGCTTCATCGTAACGTCATCGAAGACAGATAATTTCCATTATTTTGACTGTTTTAACAAAGTTATTTGATTCTTACCTCAACTAGCGCCTGTATAACAGTCATGATCACCCGTCGCTTTTAAACAAAAGACCTCAAAAGCTACACCACCGGGATTAATTAGTCAAATAATCTATGAGTCTTTTTCTCACAGAATGGTATCAGTTCGGATAAACGTTGAAAGCATTTCTTTAACAGCGTGTGACCATAATCATTTATAGCACATTTCGCTATTTTTCTAGCTTTTTCGTCGACTTGGTCCTACGTGAGTGTAATCCTCTAAGCCTCCTACATGTGGACTCGAGTTGCGGTAACAGACACGTTTGCTTAGCGTAGTAACGCTTCAGGCTACAGCTTCAAACACTGTTACTTACGTTTAAATCAAGTAACCACATTCCGCCCATGCGGCGTCTTCGTTTGAGACCCGGTTCTTCCATTTTTCTTCGCGCAGTTTGGAAGTATTTCCTCACTAGATACTGCTCTCTTTCCATCACAGCCCCAAACTAACTTTAGACTTTGGAAAACTATGTTTAGAGCTTCAATCATGGGTCACGCGCGTGATATTCGACCTTTCCCACCCAACCCGGCGTTTAGCATATTAAAACCCGCTTGGTCACGAACACTGATGTAAAATAGGCCAACATATCATATTCAATCTGGGTTTTCATGATAATAGAATAATTGGTTTATTTTAGACCACGTATCGTGCTTGAGATTCTCAATGTTTTGATGACGATGAAGTTTGCTAATTAAAACACGCACTAAAGGGTTAACAGCGTCAAGCTTGGCTTGCAATATTCGAGTCCTAATTGAGATGAATTAGAGACGAAAACGCCCAAGCCACAATAATAGAGATCGTTGTTACGCTAAACTGTGGCTTTTCTTTTCAGGCTGAGCACATTCCTTTGATATACGAAATATCGGAATAATTACATATTTCAGTGCCTTCAGCGGAGACGACCGTCGGCCATCAGCTCTTTTGAACAGTTCCGACTCAAAAAGTTGACAATCAGTTTCACGCTGGTGAAACATCGAGAGATATTCATGTTGCCTTGTAAAAGCAGTTAGAGATAACAACTTTAATAGCGTCAAACCACAAGTTCGTTGGCATTCCTATTTAGAAATCCACTCGATGTGAACTATCACGAAACCCATGTAATCCACCTTCAAAGCGGTCCAATATTTAGTCGGAAGTCACGTGAGGATTGTTGGCGGGTGTAGGTTTTGATAGCTATATCTTCTTAATTTTTTTCAGTGGTTTTCCATAGTCTGCTTAAATTTTTAAAGTATTGTGTGGGAATTTGAATGGTGTTGTATGGCTTTCTGCCGATCACTCTAACGTAAGGCACGGTCAATCTCGATGGTGGTTATAGAGAGGGACTAGAACGAAAATTCAACACTTTCTTGTTATCTAACGGTTTTTTTATAATGCTAATTTTGCGTTAATTTGTCACACGGGTTAATCTTCTCTATACTTAACCTTTGTTCTTCTCCGTTTTTTTTTTATCTTTCGTGCACCAAAAGTTTTTGATGCTTGCTTGGCCTGACAAGCTTTTATTTATAGATTTCTTAATTAACGCGTCAATTGTTTGTGACACATTCAAATAGGCGACTTAAATATCGTCATATGCAAAGTAAGACCCATCACCAGAGTCTCTATGGCTCAGTGGTAGAGCATCTGAGCGCGCTATCCGAAGGTCTGAGGTTCGATTCCTCATGGGGAATCAGGGAAGTCTTTCTTTGTCTCACGCTCGTGAAAAGACGGAAAAACGTCTTTTTCTATTACTTTAACGCGCTCAAAAATTGCCGTCTTTCTAAAGATGACTGTTGTTATAGATAGCAATGGAAAACCGCGTTTTAACGGTTGATATGTCTGCTTGCGTATCTCAGTGGAGTTTAAAGGGATGTTTCCGCAAACGGTTTCGTATACAATCGTTTTTATACGTGAGTCTTGAAAAAATGTTCGGCTGACGTTGACCAAAATTTAAGGTACATACTTGCAAAATTACTCAAATTTAGACGTTTTCATTTTGCTAATTTTGTTTTGTTTTACTTTTGTTTTGTTTCTGTTTCGTTTTTGTGTTTGTTTTAATGAAAGCTACCGTTCGTTGAGCAGTACTTATGTAAGACCGACCATTGCAAATCGCTTTCACTTAAGGATCATTTTTGGAGAAAGAGAGGAACGTTCACTTTGAGCGCAAAAATAACAGGTGCATGTTTGTATACAAGAAGAAGTATAACCAAAAGCTTTTCTTGATCGTATAAAGTTAAAGCTACGTAATACTTATGTCTCTTAAAAAATACAGGCTCCGTGCAGATTTGACAATCATTGAAATGACATTTCTATTTTCATCATGCCAAAAAAAAAAAAAGAAACCGGACAGACAGTTTTCGACCTTTTACGATGCATTATGGTGAAAACTTCCTTACATATTCTCCAGAAATGAATACACAACATGATCCTGTTCTCCTTCAGTTTTGCTTTGTTTTGTTTTTTCTTTTTATGAAGAGAAACTGAAGAGGAAGTTGTGAATTGTCGCAGAGGTCGCCCCACCAGTCTCTTTCCGTCTTGCCTTGTCCGTTTAGAACAATTGCATAAGTATCTACGCTGCAGCAGCAAATTCGAAATCATAAAGCGTGATTGGTCCTTGCAATATTATTTCGTGACCTAGAAGCGCCACAGCTTACAATATCAGTCGTTTATGTGTGCTGACCGTAGATGGAAAAAAAGTTACGAAATCGAACGAAACTGAAATTATACTTACAGACAGAATTTCTACGTAACTCATCGGCTGTGTGATAAAAGGCGTTCCTCCGAACGAACTGGCTGCAAAGATAAAGAAAAAAATCTTTAAGTTATGACATAAGTGTCACCAATGGTCTGGCAAATGATCTGTAGATGGATGTAAAAAGGTTGACGGTGTCTGGTTTGTCGCTTGATGAAAAAGTACCAGTGTTCGTTCTTGTATCTCGTCATACGACTTGTTATTGCTCTTACCAAAAAAAATTAGGCTTGTTTTGTAGTCGCGGATGTAAGTTTTTTGTTAGTTATACCGTGTTTAACACTTAATCTTGATGAACACAAGTCTAAAAAGTTTTTAGTTTATGATGTCAAGTGGATCAAGACATTCCACGGCTCAGGAAAAATTGGTTGAACAAACTCAAATGTGGCAAGCACCCGGTTTCTTTAATCCTAGCTTCAAAATTAGGGGCAATTTGAAAAAAGTAAGAAAAGATTTGTATGTAAGGCTATGGTCACGACAGATCCGCTTTATCCAATGAATTTCATTGAGATTTATCCTCCGTGCTCTAAAAACAATGTGCTGTAGCTATGTACAGACCTGTACAATGTACTGTAGCTTCATATTGAAATTAAAGCTCAAATGTTAATTACAGTAATCATTCCGATCCCAAACTGCTGGGTAACGCGAAAACAAAGAGAAATAAAAAATGAAGCAAATCAACAACTATTATCCATCCTTCGGTATAACGAACATTTTGGTTGTTATTTTCCGCAAATTCGCTAGATCAAGGTTTTCTACAGGTCGTAATCACTGATCTGAGGGTTAATGTCTGGGTGAGAAAAAGGTAATCAAGGTTGCTCAGTTGGAAATCGTTTCCGGTATTCTGCTGCTGTTTTTAAAGGGGTTTCTAATTTTCCACAATCGTCCAATGACTTCTCCCGTCTTCCTTTCCCATTAATGGACAGAAATGCTTTCCCCCGGTCGTTAATGCTTGAAAAAATTATCCACAATATTCATGTTAACCGCCCAGAACTGTAATATTTGTTGTTTAAATTATGCGACAATAACAAGAACAGTCCTCACTGCCATAATCCTTGGATTCACTGGAACTCAAGAGGGCCCGGGAAAGTAACTAGTCAAGTGTGATCAATTTATCTTCGCGTGCTCAGTTGGAATAACGGGGCTGAACAATATTGACGGACTGAGATGACGTCAATACCAACAGATATTGGAATCATATATAACCAAACTTCCGTTGATGCAACTAATCTTTTCTAGGTGCATGACTGATTTGGGTATCGAGTACTGTTCGGAATTCCGATGCAAAGGTTGTTTTTAAAGTCAATGATGTTCCATTAGGAGCATCTATGTAAACATGATGCTGAAAGATTACACTAGGCTTAAAAGTCGTCCGTCAACACCTTTGATCGTGTTCCTGTCGATGCTCATGCGACCTGAGTTTACAGCCTCGGGCAGAAGGGTCCTAGTAGATCGATAAGAGACATGATTCACTCCACGGAGACTAAGTTGTCAATTTACGAGAAATCTTTGCTCGCGAGGCTGCTGGGACATAAATTATGCAACCGACCTCTTATTTAAACATTTTGAGTTTGAACTGACCATGCAAAGATCGGAGTTCTGTTCTGTTATACAAGTAATCCTCTTATTAGTAGCCAGCTAGTGGCAAAATAACATGTAAGATTCGCACAGTTACGATCCTTTGATTGCTAAATTAAAAGCATCCATCTAGCCGAAATAATTACCGTTAGTGCATAGTGCAGAACGAGTGTTATAGACGCAATGTTTACATCAACCCTCAGGGATTCGAACACAACTGAATATACTTCCAAGCCATGTATGCTCTCTGCTTCTCCCTCTCAACTTTCGGTTGTTCACAACACCTCTTACCTTGAAAGGCCACCACGCCAGTGCCTGCTTCTCAAAGAGTGGGAAACACAGGAGAATGTAATTTACACATGCACTCGGCCGATTGTGATAGCGAGATCATGGCTGTCAGTTCAGTGGTATGTGAAATTCCATCATAAATTTCCCTTTGTTTGCATGATTTTGAGATTGCGCGCAAACAGGTCATGAAAGATTCAAGAACGACTCTACAGGAGCCTTTAAATCCCGGATACGATCAAATAGTACCTGGCATCTTTGGCGTGCCCTCTCGTTTGCTGGAGGAGTAATGATGAATAAGATCTGTAAAATATTTGTCTATTCCAGGGCTGAACGAGTCATCAGCTCCTTGATTGGTCACTGCTATTGTTTGAGGCATTTAAAGTGCGTCTTTTAACAGACACAAAACATTAACACTTCTTGACATACTTCTATCAATCAGATGGCGTTAGTTTTGTTCAGAATGAACCAAGGAATGCTGTTTGATACGCTGAACAATTGAAAAAGTTATTTTCGATCTTAGGCGAAGTCGTTCAACAATAGACAAGAAATTATTTGCGGCTTTTGATCGTTTTGTTCTATTGTTTTGCATGAATTAATCCGTGTAACCATTTACAGCTTGTATTTATACGGCGAATTATCCTGCTTAAACCAATTTGCCAAAAGACTGCCTCACGTTATTTCTTTGGCGATCACACGAGCCCATTACTTTCCTGCGGTGGACGCTTCTTTTAAACTCGTTCTGTACGATACTAATTTTTGTTAATTCATTTATCACTTGAAGATGACTATCTACTGTTAACAATAATCTTTCATAAAATTTAAGACTTACAGGAGGAGTCAAGAAAAAAGGTGAAAAATAATCGCTTAATTGAAGTTTTTATTGTAATTTTTATGAGAGTATATATAAATATGTGTAGCGCGAGACCTGAAATTATGGAAGAAAAGAGGTTTTTCAACTATCTATGGCATTTAAATTAAGCACTCGTTAACCAGTCGAGACAAGGGAGTTTGCTTACGGTGGTTTAATCCCTAATTTCATTCAGTCTGGAAAAATGGGTTAGGAGCGGAGGGTATCGAGCTTGGTTCATGTGTTATGTGTATGTTCCTGGTGGGTGGTGTTTCGGTTAATAATCAGGAGTCGTGTCTTTTTTCCTTTTTCACACTTTCCCTTGTATGTCGTTGGTAAGTCTCAGTAAGTCAGTAGCAATGGAAAGGCATCTTATCATGCGTCTATTTCAGAGAGATCAAAGATCTGATAAAGTTCAAAGGTGTCTATAGAAAATTTGAAATAGCGTTCTTAAAAAAGGTACTCGAACTGAGATATCACTCGAGTGTGAACAGCCATTTCACAGCTTCTTTTCAAATGCGCATGTGCTCTTAATATACGGTTAAAATGCGTGCCTTATTCCACGCTTCGCAAGTGCCCTGTCATTGAGTGACCTCTGCACTCGCGAAGAGGAGAAGAGGGGCAGTACCACAATATAAGCAAAATGATTTCTTTCCTTTTCCCTTCTTTTTTGTCCCATTCTCAAGTGTTATAAGAGGGGAAACTGAAGTAATACTTTGAAATCATACCGTAGCAAGGCTGGTAAAGTCATTCCTTTTTTTTTTTTTTCCCTGCAGGGGGGCTCTTCATTCCAAGCCCACACATAATGAAGACACGTCCTCAAATGGGACACTTAATCGTAACCTCCATTACGTTTTCGTTTCTGACACACTGAATAGCATGATGATTCGTACTTATCATAGATCAGTTAGAAGTGAAAACTACTTTCGGTTGCAGAACCATCCGCGGGCAATCTTAGATATCTACTGAGTTGCAAATCTTTCTTTTCTTTTCCCCTCAGTTTGCACCGGGAGGGAGTTAGAGCTTTCTAATGATCTCGAAAACTTAGCCTCAAAACAAGCGTTTCCTGATTTTATGATGCTATGGATGCACGAGATTAGCTGTCCGTCCTGTCGTACGAATAAAACCCTCAACTGACATTTGCAGCGAACGAAAACTTTCATCTGAGATGACATTTTCGTGGATCAGTTGTGACCTTAGGACGTTCCGCAAGGTTTAATCGTTCTCCCCTCAAACATCGTGCTCACTTGTTCCATAATGACTGACCTCTCATCCATAAGACACTTGAAAACTGTAATATCACGTTATTTCATGATAGGTTCCTATTCTTGTCCCATTCCAAATTCTTGGACGAAACATCTTTAATATTGTTTCCGGTTGAGCGGTTGCCGCATTATCATTGTAAACAACCGCGCCAATCGTAAATGTTGTTACTACGTGAAAATTATACTGTGAGCTTTCGATAGAAAACTTAATCACTGATTAATGATGGAGCTAATACAGTTTTCTTTCGATACGCGTCCGATTTAAGAGTGCATTCTGTTGATGTACCCCTGGGAAAAAAAACTGATCCTGCCCAATAACTAGATCGTATCTTTTCCAAACTCCTGGTTAAATATCTGCAAAAATAGCTTATGAAATCTTCTTATTTCGACCAAGAGCATTATGATTTTTTTTTTGTTTATGAAATCCTTTCAGCATTGGAACCTAAGAGTTCCGCTAGCTTGAAACTCTATGAGATCAGAAAGAAACACTGAATACTAAAACAGTCGGTTTTTGTCAAAGATTCATAAGAAACCGGCAGCTTGCAGTAAACAGTAACAAAGAAATATCAACTGATCATGCTGATAAAATATTGTTACTATTTTTCACCAATATGGACAAAAATAAACTACTTCATTCAAATACCTCGCTTTTGGTTCTCATCAAAGTGAATCGGAAATGATTGGTACGACGACCTATTTGCTTAAGTTTCCTGTCGGTAGGGTGTCCACGGTAAAACCTTAGTCTTTTGAGGAAGTACCAAGAGTGTTAAATCACCGCAAACGAGCATAGAGTAGAGAGGAGTAAACTTGCAGGATACGCTCTGTGTTTGTTAATCCTTGAGGTATTTGTGAAGAAAAAACACCGCATACCGATGCAAAAATAGTTTTGAACGACGTCAAATCCGTGGTGTCGCTCTTGCCGAACCATTTTACTCAATCTAAACTGACAATAATCCATCTGTACAAACAGTTTGTCACGAACAGAATCGAGGTGAATGTCAATCAGTGAACCAAAACTCAAGAGTTAAGACGTGAAAGTTCGAATTAAACCTGTGGTGCTTGAATAC